CCTAGTAGTAAGGCCAGGAGCCCCTAGTAGCGTCCTTGCTCCTAGTGCTGATGCCAGCTTCTTGTTACTAGTAGTAATGCCTTTTGTTATTAGTAGCTTCTCGTTCCTAGTAGTAAGGCCAGGATCCCGTAGCGTCCTTGCCTAGTAGCGATGCCCTTTGTTCCGAGTAGCTGTAGCAGCTGCCAAAAGACAAGTTTCTGCAGCCTAGGCCTAGACAGGGCTTTTTGCTTTGGGTCTTGCTTTTCAAACATATGCAAACCATGCAAAGCTCGAAAGTTGCTGCAAAAGAGTCTCTCCAAGTTGGCAGGAAGGCGTGATCGGACAGAAGGAGCTTCGGATGGTTTTTGGTGTGGCAAAATCATTGGAAAGTAAGGGATGCAAACAACGCGGAAGCAGACAGAGCACCTGGAACGACACGCCCTCGGGATTCATTTAGGCTGGATTGGGCATGTTCGGGTCTGACAGGAGCACCTATGGGCTCCAGCTTGAGGCTTGCCCCGTCTGCATTTGGCAACATGGCAACATGGTCCATGCTTTCATTTCTGGCACTATGTGGTTTAGCAAAGTGCACAAAACGCACACATCACTTCATCACACATCGGACGCTACTAGGAGCAAAGGGCATCGCTACTAGGAGCAAGGACGCTAGGGGCTCCTGGCCTTACTACTAGGAACAAGGACGCTACTAGGAGTTTTTTCTTTGACTTTCGCTCCAGGTCGCAGAAAGCGATCTTTGGTCCAGAGAGCTTGGTCATATTGGACCCCGATGTCCGGATGCCTAGAACCATATTCGATGTGTCATCAGGCGAAAAAGGGTCCCTTATGGTCATTTTGGGGGTGCCCTTATTGAGGGCCTTGACCTTTTTCTTAAGAGCCCTCGTTCTTTTGTCACTGGCAGATTCTAGCAGACAATTAAGTTATATACATACATCAACTGATATCAATCATTATCAATCTGTAGGGCCAGCACAGCACGTTAGGTTGTTAAGAACGCGTGATGTCCCATTCCTAGGCAGCGCACTTGGAGCTCTTGGATCCTCAAGATGCGGATGTCGCCAAGCTTTTGTCCAACGTGTGGCAGTGCCAAGTGACCTGATCATCTTGACTGGCAGCACTGGCAACTTAGACGGTGATGGTGGCAGTCTTGCAGGTATTGGCATCCGTTTGTTGCGATCTTTGCCAGGCGCACCCAAGCAAGCATCACTTGACGTGTTTGACGTCAGAGTTTTCAACCCTTTTTTTGAAGGACATGTGTACATCTCAAACAACTAAGCAGCATGACATATGAAATATTGTGTGATACTGTAACATTTCCTAGCTTAGTCATGAAGCAGCAATGCTTTTGGCGAGTTGACGCTCCAGGCGCTTTTAGCTGGTCTGAGCATTGCCAGCCTTTTGCTGGTCACCTTGTCAGCAGAAGCTTCTCAGCTGAAGTGCTTCAAAGTGTCGTGATTAGCCAATCTTTGCTTTGTGTTCTGATGAGCCCAAGAGCATTTGACAGCTCGGCTTCTGCAGGAACTGCTGGCATTAAGTGCCAAGCTCTGGCCATTCCTGGGTGGTGTTTTCTTGATCTTGGCACAGGTGCCTTGTCGGCACTTGCTGCGATGATCTGCGATGTCGAAGTTGCTCAGGTTGGCACACTGGGCAGTGCTTTGAGCGTCACGCGGCTTCTATGGATTTTACAGGCTCGGAAGCGGCTTGGTTGCTTCTCACTGCGAAAGGGGCCGAACATGTGAACTGCCTCATGGCACTCAGTTCGAGGTCTCTAGGGTGGATGAGCAGTCCTCAGGCTGGAAGTGAATAAGTCGACAGCCAAAGGCCATCAGTTTGGCCCAATAGGTTGGAGGCCATCGCAATTGGGTTCCTTTTGCTAGTAGGTTGGAGGCCATTGCTATCACAGGATCTAAAAGCAATCAAACTTTGATCCAACTTCGCAGGTGTGAAGAGGTCGGGATTCAACTTCCACGCCCGGGCCCTCTTTGACGCTCGGTCGACTCGTGGCCTTCAGGCGGCTCTTGTTTGCAGTGCTCCATGCGATCGTCAACACGGCGCTCCTGACATTGCTGACAGTGCTGAGCTCTCAAGTGTCCAGCCCTTAAGTCAATGACGTGCTCAAGTAAATAAGTCAATGAACAGATATCATTTGCTTGTTAGCAGCATTCATCACATTTCCATAGAGAAGACTGACAATCATCGCCGATTTTATTCTGGAGAAGTTTTTGGAAGGACTTGGCCTGATTCGCAGATGCTTCTGGTAGAGGGAATTCTTGGTCTTTTGGCCCTGATTCTGTGCCTCCCAGAGGCCTTCCAGTTAATGTCTTCGTCACCACGACGTGTGTTTGACAGGCAACAGAATGCTTAACATGGTTGGCAGCTGTTATTGCAAGGTTGACTCTGTAACTGAGACAAATATCTAGATCATAACGATGGCTTCCAACCTAATCCGGATAGATCCGGAATGATCCGGCGACCAACTGCGCTCTTGAGTTGTCCGTTTCACAAAGCGAGAAAAGCACGCAGAAAAGATCGGCTTCCGGCCGTAGCTTGCGCTGTGGAAGAGATGTGGTGGCAGTGTTTCTGCATACACCACTGGTCGCCAGTCTTACCTAACCGTAGACGGTCTCAAGCACGGGCTGCACTGGGCTCGCCATGTCGAAGCTGAACATCGACAACTTGAAGAAGGGCATTGCAAAGTTCTCGGCTTTCGTAAAGCCATGCTTTCACATCAAGGATCTGGTTTTCCATGGTATTCCGCGCTTCGAATCTGAGGTCCAAATCCTGGATGGCAGCAAGGAGAAGCAGCGAAAGTTCCTGGAGACAGCACCTTCGATGCCAACTAGAAATCATGTTCACTTTTTGGAAACAATCACAAGCTTTCACCACCATGAGTGTCTTTTGGATCCAAAGACCGTGAACAAGTGCATTCCAAAGTCTTCCCTGGCCCTGAACCATCGATCCAGAACTGATTGCTGATGAGCTGAGTGCCGCAACGAAAGAGCCCAAACATGGAGGTCTGAAAGCAGCTCCCTGCTGAATTATCGTTGACCTCCAGCTAATTACTTCATTTCGTGACTTTTTTAAACGTCCCTCTTTGTGAGCTTTTACAGGCCTGTTCGAACCTCAAAGCAGGGGATCAAACGTGGTTCTGGACGCGGGGTTCTCCGGGGACTTCAGCATCATCGGGGACATCGGGGACTTCAGCATCACAACATTGTCATCGATCACAACATTGTCATCGATGACAGCATTGTCATGACCACAACATTGTCATCGATTAGTCGTGTGATTAAAATGGGGTCGGGGAGTTGGGGTTGGGGGGGGGTGAGGGGTAAGTTCCCCAAAGTGGCAGTGAAGTACAGTACACTGGACCTGATCGATAACACCAAGACTACACCAAGTAAGACCCAATAGACTCGATAGCGGAGTGTGGAAGTGTGCGAACGGCAGAGAGCATACTTTTCTATGGCGAGCAGTGCAAGTGCGGGCTCTAGTGGTCTTGAGCAAAAAGCAGCATTAATTATGCTGTTAAGCTGACTGAGGAATAGATGTACAAGTAACTACGAACAACAGGTGCTACACACGTATAGTGCAGACAGGCCTTGGGGGCCTAGGACCCTACAAATTACAATCAGACACAAATTTTCTTCGTGTCGAACCTTACGGCTGCAAAAGTACAAAATGAAATGCAAGTGATCAGACAAAAAAAGGGGCTGACTATCAGACATAGTTTTTCTTTTGGCCGTGCAAGTGTGCTGCGACTTACACTGTGATTTACACTGTAAAAAGCGCCGACATCCATTTTTCACTGGTGCCAGCAGTATTTTTGAAGGTTTTTTCAACATGAAATGCGATATGCAAAAAGCATGAAGCCACACCTTGATTGGGGAGATGAAAAAACACCTTGTCCAAATCCGGCATTACTCTGTTCATATTCGACTTCTTCGCGCTGATTTTTTCGAAAAAGCCGTTTGTTTGAACATTTTTTTGCATAAAGCAAGCGCGCTTTATCAGAAACACAGGCAGGCTCCGCGTTTTCGACTCGTCTGACGTTTGCTTGTGTTGTTTTCGCTCAGAGAACCCCCGGTCTGCAGCCTCAAACGTTGAAGAGCTTTGTTATGCTTTGTTCATCTTTAACTCCTCAAAGCATGTTTAGTCAAAAAACCAAACATGGCCTGTTTGGGACCTCAATGTGCAACTCGGAGGTCGAACTCCAGATTGGCCTGAAGGACTACGACACACAGCGAGACAAGCGTTTTGCAGGTGTTGGAATTCCACATGGCAAAACAAATTGACCTTTAAAGGTTGTTAGTCTGAACATGTCTAAACGATATTCTACGAATAGAACACAACAGTAGTTCTTTGGCCTTTTCTTTTCATTTTTGGAAAGCACAAGTCTGACTTTCGTCCATGTGGAGGCACAATCAAGCTGCCACATGTGCCTCGACCTCGCTTGAAGGTGCGTCTTCTATCCCAGTTCCACACGGCCCGAGGGTGCAGAACGTGTTGTTCTCGTGTGGCGTTTCGAGGTCTGTGTGCTGGGTGATGCTGTGCATTGCGAACAAGCTCAGAGGGTCCGGAGCTGAGACGACCTAACCGCCACGCCTCCAACCTAATAGCAACGACCTCCAACATTTTAATAGCAATGACCTCCATCC